ATGTACATGAACTTGATCGGTGTATAGGGAGGTATGTAAGCTAGTTTCTTTGTGTGTGTGGGGATTCTTGTCCACTACTCCATGAGTATTCGTGGCATGAGTGTGATCATTTCTTTCCAAGCAAGACCATCTGCTGAAAACAGGCACGCTTCGATAAAGAGCTGTCCCGAACTGCCACTCCGGGCTCTCTGGCTACCTTTGGCGTGCTGACAGGGCGCCTGGTAGAAAGAACTTCCATTTTGTTTGCTTCTTAGTGGGAAAACTTCTGTTTGGAGGTGGCTAGCAATTTTATAATTCTTAAATGGGTTCTTTAGATATGCAAACACAAAGCATCCATCTTTTTTTCCCCAGAGAAAATGCTGAAGTCACCATAAATCCAAATAAGGGGGAGTTGATTCATTTGTTATGTGATCTTTGTAGTTAAGTGAATGTGTTATGACTTTAATAGGACTGTTCCCTGCATGAGGCAGATCAATATTTTCTTTCCTAAATATGAAATTGGATTAGAAGTTCGGCACAGGGTGCTCTGTAATGTTGAGGAACTCAGCTTTTGGGAAGATGCAGTATCAGCTGTTACGATTGCCTTACCTGGGCCGTAGGAGTCACCTGGAGTTTGAGATAGTGTTCCCTGCTTGAAGGATTATGTGTTCCTATGACGAGCCCTCCCAGGGTGAACATAAGGCCCCCCTTCTCTCACTCAGTCAATAGAATTGGGGGTCAGGGAATGGCAGTGTCGGAGGGCCAGGAGAGTCCTGTGGATGGAGTTGAGCTGCTTTTCACAACCCGAAAGTCGGCTTAGGTTCCATCGTGTGGACCCCAGGAGGCACCTCTTAGACGGGCTGTGAAGGCCCCTCTGGATTCTGGTGCTTCTGCTATAATGCACTAGGTACAAACGGGGTGTTAGCGGTGCCTGGTGGTTAAGGGATGGATATGTTTTAAACGGTACCTCGCAGTTTGTTTTTATTTAAGCGTGGTGCAGCCAGCAATCAGGTGACTGCCACTGGAAATACAGTTTGTTACTCCAAGTTCCCAGGAGGAGAGGGTAAGCCAGACTAGGCGGGGCCCGATGGGGAAGCGGTAGAGTCAGAGTCAGCGGGGAGCCAGAAGGACCGAGGAGAGCAGGGGCAGCAGACTGTCATGCCTGTGCAGGGACACGGGAGCCTGGCAGGGGGAGCAGGGAGGCGGGGTTAGGATGGGCGAGTTTAAACAAGTTCAGTGGGCTCTGGCGTGGCAGGCCTGTCCTGACCTCGGGTGAGTAGAATGGAGGAATGTTGGCTCAATCTACAGGAGACTGATAAAGAAGATAGTTGGTGAGTTCAGGCTCTGGATTAGTTGGTCTGCTTACAAAAGGCACACTCAAAAGGGAGTTATGGGCTGTTTCTCGGAATTGATTAGCTTTGGGAGAGGGCAGCCTCTCCAGGATCAGCAAGACCCCAGATGCCAGGGCGTCAAAAGTACAGAAAATGCAGCTAACCCATAGTCAGTGTCCGCACACGGAATGAATGGCCCCGGGGAAAGGGAAGCAGTATTTAGACTCTGGAACAATAGCCTTTAAAAGTCAAGACATCTCATTCAGACAGGTTCATGGAATGTGTATCTGTTTCTAATGGGAGTCCACACACTGATGATACAAATAGAGGAATGGATCTTCAGGGATCCAGTGCAGTGGGTATGTTAGTGTTATGTTGATGTGTAACAAATGACTGCACACTTAGTGCCTTGAAACCGCACCCATGTGTGCTCCCACAATTCTGCACCAAGTCCGGGAGGCTTGGTGCTCTGCTGAGCATGCCACAAGGCTGAAATCAAGGCATTGGTCGGCGGGGCTCTCCTCTGGAGGCTCTGGAGGAGATGCTACCTCCAGGCTCATTCAGGGTGTTGTTGGGGGATTCATTTCCAGCGGCTGTGGGATTCAGGTCCCCGGCCCCTTGGCCCCTCCTCTTCCAGCCAGCAGTGGTGGGTGGAGCTCTATTCCTGCTCCCAGGCCTCTGTCAAGCTTCTCTCATTCCAGCTGGAGAAAGTTCTTCACTTTTAAGGGCTCATATGATTAGATCGGGCCCAACCAAATAATCCAGGATAATCTCCGCATTTTAAGGCCTACAACCTTAATTACATCCGCAAAATTCCTTTTGCCATGTACAAAGTCATTGGTTTCAGCAACTACGATTTGGAAATGGATTGGGGGGCGCATTTTGCCTGCCACGGGGGGTTATGATTAATGTAAATGCTGAGCACTTGGTTAAGGTAGTATTTGCCAGATGTCAATTCCATTATGAAATTGCTGTTTTTCTTTTTAATGAATAAATATGTATGGGGGGCATATTTTGAGACTACGCAAATACCTTGTTTCTCCTGAAACTTTTCACATACTAATTTTCACACCCATCAGTGGATGTTGCTTGCAGAATTGATCACGGCAGCGTTTTCTAACACTGACTTTCTACTCCTGCCCTTGCTGCTGCTGCTTTTAAGTGGAATTATTCTTCAAGGAGGACTGTCTTTCTTCCCATTTCTCTGTGTATTCAGTTATTTATTTATACCAGTTTGAGTCCAGTGGCAGTTGTTTTATTCTTCGGTTTATAATCCAATACTATTGTTATTTAGTTTCTTGCCCCAGTGGCTTTGGCCACTGCGAGCTCCTCTGGGTTGGCCCCGCCACACTTTGGACATGTGCTTGCCTGTTATGAGCTCTCTCTCACCTTCTGTTTGCATTACAGTTTACTCCAAGGTCAGCTTCATTTTCTCTGCCTTAGCCTGACATCAGCCACTTTTTCCAAGAGCCCTGGTTCCTCTTATTCGACAATGGTATTTAGAAGCCACTGAGTACTAGGTGCATTCTCTGCTAGTGGGGTGTCCCATCGCTAAACCCTCCGTGTGGACACAGCCGGGACATGTATATGTGTATGCTAATGTATACAGACTCACATCTGTGTTGATCGCTGTATCTCCCACCCAGCGCAGTCCAAGCTTCAGTCCAGCACTCCTCTTCTCCTTATTTGTGGCTTCATTCTCGGATAGGAAGAAACCTGATTCTCATGATCGACAGTGTATGTACTTATTTGCTCAACCCTAGTTTACATGCGAAGTAGATTTAGAGCTGCCAATCTGTACTCCTGTGAGAAACAAACTTACCAGCAATTCCTTATTCTTGTCTTTAGACTCACGTTATCCACTTAAAACGTTATTTTCCAAAGTTGTTCAGGTCCCCTCCTCTCTTCCCTGTCCCCTCAGCGTGCTTACGTGACTAACTTGTGATCAGTCAGATTCATCCGTCCCTGTCTGACTGAGTCCCACCCTGGGTTCCCTCTCGTTCCCCATGTTCAGATTGATGTTTTTGTTTGATTTTTAAGAACTTTAAAAGTTATTTTTAAAATGCATCCTCTGTTCATCTTTCCCCCACTTTGTTTAATGGTCGTTTCTAAGTCTGCTTCTATTGACCTTCCTTTCTTCTGGGTTTCAGTCTCCTGCTCCTGTTCTTGTCTGGGAATTGTTACTGCGTGCTGAGCGTCAGAGATGACACATGGTAGAGGTTCTGGGCCATGTTTCATTGCTGTTGAGACTTGGTTTTAGGTCTTGCTGGGGCAGACCTATTCCGTCTTTGCCCTTACTCCTAGGCATGGTCCCTACCATAGGGTGAGAGTCTTTTTGGTCTCAGCTGAAAGCTTGGGGTGCTCACTAAGGTGTCCCAATGTCTCCCCAGTAATGTGTGAGCTCTGACATCTCTTCCCAGTTATCAGCCTCTTAGCGACTATTTTCCCCCCTTGGGCTTCCCATAGTCTCACCCTGAGATTGCATCTTCTCAGTAGTTCCCTACATTACTCCTCCCTCCACCTCTTTCCAAATACCCGCAGTTTCAGCAACGCCTACCTCTGGTCTCTGCTCCTTCCTCTCTCTGCTTGAGCTCTCTCCCCTGTGTAGCAGTTTGAGCAGTATCTTCAGGGAGAAAACCAGGATAAAAGTGGGATTCACCTTTTCTACTTTCTCTCCCTCGAGGATCATAGCCTGGAGATGTTTGCCATCCAGTGCCTGCAAACAATTACTTTATCTATTTGTTCAGCTTTTGTAGTTGTTTCCAATGAGAGCGTAAATTCAGTACTTGCTACTGCACTATGATTGATCAATTTTTTTTTATTTAAGTAAAAGTGCTTGCAGAATTAGAGGATTTCAATTATTCTGTCAAGCAGGTAGAGGGAGAGGTATGTGCTCAGCTGATTTGGTGGAGACATTTTATAGAGATTTATGAAGTTATTTACAGGGAATTGTCAATTGCCTTATTATTTCTAGGAAAACAAATGATCAGCTAAGACATTACAGGTTTTATTTCGATGTAATTTTCTTGCGTCTAGAATCTTCATAATCTTATAAGACCCTTTTGTTCAAACAACGCTTGCAAGATTTGACATATATTAAAAAAGAATGGGACAAATAGTTGTCAATAGTCACATCAATTTCATATTGCGTGGGAAATCCAGATGGATATTTTAAAACAGCAAATGCTTTATCAAACTGCATTCCGTCATCGAGTTTATAATGCTAGAAACACATTTCTCTTCCAGGGCTCTAGGGGAGAAGACAGTCCTTCATCTCCTTCCTTCAGATGCTTTGCTTGATTGTGAAGATACGTGTTTTTAGAGCCAGACTCTGAGATTTCCTTTCTTTTAAACACTTCATTTATTAGCGTTATAAGCAAAAGTCGGGTTTGCAGAGCTCAGATTTCCTCGGAGAAATGACTGAAGATTTTTTACTTAATGACAGTGCATTAACTGGGCACGGCGTCTTTTTCCTCTGTAATGATAAGATGGGCTTTCAAAGCTTGCGTGGGCTTTTGTGATGATTGCATGTCTTCCCTCGCTCACTCCCCAAGGCGCTGAGCTGCAGATGGACCGTCATGATCCTTCCTGGGGCTGTGAGGGCGGAGCCCTGTGTACACCACGCTGGAATGCACTGCAATCTAAGTCACCAAATCATTAACCAGAACACGTTCTGCTGCTTCACTTGCAGGAAAAAAAAAGAGAAGCAAATGATACCAAGGCAAGCGCCTGACAGGGACCTCATCACCAGATGTGTATGGATGAAAATACAGGTACGAATGAGCCTCTTATACTCTTTTGGACCTGAGTTTAAATTACTGTATAATGATTGCTGGTTCAGAAAGTTCAAGTAGAATGCAGAATCAGAAAAAGTCTGAGCAATCAAACTTTTAATAAGAGTTAAATACTTTTTAAAAACTATTCCAGGTGTTTCCTCATATTCTGGGTTTTGGGAGTAGAAAATTGGAAGGGAAAAAAAACAGGTCTGTGCATCAGAGACACTATGACCTAGGCCACCACTTGTCTGCCGCCTTTGTTAAACCCACTGCTACCATACACTGCCTTACTGATCCATCGTCACACTGTGGAATTTGCCATGACTTGGAACTACCTCATCTGATTCAAATAGTGCAAACACCTAGGATCTCATTTATGGTCTTTCTTTCTTCCCAGTGGCTTTGTTAAGCACCCCCTACAACCCTACAACCGTTCTTCCGCTAGGTCCTTGGAGTTGACTTGTCCCCCCACCTCCCCATTCATTTATGAATCCATTCACTACCCATTTATCCTCACCCGTTTCTACCTTCTATTTTCCCATTGCGGATAGATTCTAGGAATCATTTCGATTACTTTCTTGCAAATTCTCTGGCGAACCCGGGATGGACTGGTCCATCTTCCCCATGTCTGCGCCCAGGCTGCTGAGTACAGCTGGAGAAAAGCACAGTGGGGGAGACCAGCCCCCCTACAGATGCACGGTCAGGGATCTCAATGAAGCAGTCCAAGGTCCTCTGCAGCTTGGTCCGCAAATTTCTGCAGAGTCTCTTCTAAAGCATTCAATTCTCCAAACTTCAACTGTCATTCTCAGCTGACACTGTTATCTGTCCCTTCGCTGGAAAAGCGAAAGCTATTACGTGGGAACCTCATTCACGGACTGTTTTCCCTTTTCCTGCCAAGGCCGACCTTAACCATGTGTTCTGCATCCCAACTCCTCAGGTTTTCTTCAAGAATACTCATTGTTTCCATTTCCTGATTTTATGTCAATCTTTTCCTGTCTCCTAGATCTTTCCCATAAGCTCTTATGCACGCTCTAATCATGGCAAAAAAACAAATTAAGAAACTGACCAATCACCTCTCTGCCAGGGACAGAGAGAACAGGGACAGCCCTGGAACCCGCTTACTTCTCCAGCTGCCATGACCCCCTCCCCTTCATTCCCAGACCTCGGGCCTGTGCTGACCGTAGCTTCTCCTAATCCTCAGCCCCTGTTCCCTCCACAAACCCTCCAATCTCAATTTCTGTCTCACACATTCCTTGGGAACACTTCTTGTTAAAGTCACCAGTTATTTTCATGTCATTTAATCTCATGTACTCTTCATAGCCCCCTATCATGTGACCTCTCAGAGTCACTCTGCAAAGCTGACCACTCCCTCTTTCGAAACACTCCTTCCCTTAGGTTCCCACGTTCCATGCACTCCAGTTCCCCTCCTTCGTCTCCACTCCCCTCTTTATCCTTCGGCTGACCCTCCTCCTCCACCTACCCTGTACGCGTGGGAGTGCCCCAGGGCTCCGTCATGCCCTCTTCTCATCAGACATCCTGCCACCAAGGCCATTCCATCCACCCCGTGGCTTCAATTGCCACCTGTACTCCAACGACTTTCAAATTCTGTCCCCCGCCCAGACTTCTGCCCTGAACTTCCCGCTTGACAGCTCCACCTCGCCGCCCCTCTGACTGCTCAGCACGAGTGCATCTGAAGCTGGACTCCTGATCGTGCCTCAGGCCCCGAGCCTTCTCTTGCAGCAGATGCTTCCCCCACCGACCCGGGTGCTCCAACCGTGTACCCTGGAGACACCCTGGACTCCTCCTCTTGTTCTTTGAATAGAGGAATACTTTCAACATAATATGGTAAATATCAAGACGGAGGCATATAAATTACAAACTGCAACACAGATAAGGGGCATTTCATCCAACCGAGGAAGTCTACAAGTGTGACTGCCATTGGTGGCTCGGATGGTGGCCTTGGACACGCAGTTCATGAAAAGAGGTGGGCAACAGTCCAGTGCTTATTATGGCTGCTCCCTGGCCTGGCCTCTTCGTCTTCCCGAGACTGATGCCCTTACCGCCTGCTAGGACCAGAGGCCAAATGAACACTTAGGTTTTTCTATGAGCAAATGCAAATCTGGAAGACTGGTTGCCTTCTCCTTCAGCCAGGAAAAATTATGGGAGAGTATTTGTTTTACTTTCATATTGTACATTAAAAATCCCGTCATTTTTATAGAGAAGGAGAAACGTAATTCTTATTTTTTTAAAATTACAAACAGATTAAGAAAGGCACATAATTATAAAACTAAGCATACCTTGGAAAAATAATCTGTTTTCTATAGAGAGAGACATTTTATGTTAAAACTGGAATTCTTTTTTTTAAAGGATATATTTTTAAAGATTTTATTTATTTATTTTTAGAGAGGGAAGGGAGGGAGAAAGAGAGAGAGAGAGAGAGAGAGAGACATCAATGTGCGGTTGCTGGGGGTCATGGCCTACAACCCAGGCATGTGCCCTGACTTGGAATCGAACCTGCGACACTTTGGTTCGCAGCCTGCGCTCAATCCACTGATTTATGCCAGCCAGGATAAAAACTGGAATTCTTAAAATAACTATGCTGGGAATCTGACATAAGCTACCTCAGTCCTACACGACACCCCAGGACACAGAAGCACCTCGGGATTTTCAAAGACACTCACTTTGTGGTGGAGGGCATGGCAGAACCCTGGGACTCAGACAGAAGCCCCTCTCTCCCCAAGTTCAGGCTGGGATCACAGACGTACAGCCACACACAGGGCAACGTGTCCACCAGGAGAAGTATGTGAAAATTACAGAGATGGCCCAAAGGTGGGGTGCGCCCTTGAATGCGGTGAGACCTTAGCTAGGTTGTTGAGGATGAACAGGAGTTCAGCACATGAACAGGATGGGGAAAAGGCATTCCAGGGGAAGGGAACAGTGTGTTCGAAGGTGCATCTTTGGATCATATATAGAATGTTTCTGATCTACAGCAGTGAGCGGTGGTGGAAGGAGACAAAGGGGCAAGGTGGACAGGGGGAGCCTGTGTGCTGTATTAACTAAGAAGCAAGGACTTTGCTCCGTAACCGGGGAGAGCCTCTGAAACTTCTAAGTGAGGGAAACGAAAAACAAGGAGGCACACTGATACCTCTGGCTGCTTGTCCTGGACCCATTTGCCCCACGTGTAGAAAATCATGGACTTATTTATCCACGTACAATTCTAGTGTAAATTCCTGTGTTTGTTGGGTAAAACAATGTATTGTATAATTTTAGATGTAACAAAAAAAGTCACGTTATTAAAATTGCATTCAGAAAATTACTTTCCTTCTGACATGTTTACCTGGCTTCACTCTACTAAGCAAGGGTTTTACTCCTAAAATATTTGCTAAATATATTGTCTGTGTGCTCAGGGCACCAACCCGGGGTCACACTTGTTCCCCTCCTAGAACAGCCAGGGTCAGGCAGTGTGTTTGTGCGACCAGAAAGGGCTTTGCACAAGTCCCCGAGACAGTGGTCCGTGGGCCGTGTGGTCTTCGGATGGCTTTGCTCTGTCCTTGTTGCCAGAGAAAAGGAAGCCGTCAAGGCTTTGTGTTGTCTCCCAGGCGGGTGGTTCCCTCTGTGACGGTCAGAGCCCTGCGATGCTGCATGTTTCCGCAGCCTCCGCGGGTCCTCAGATCGGTACCGGGTTTTGGCAGGAGGCTGATCTCTGGGAAAAAGCACTCTTGATTCAAAACAAACATCTGTATGGCGTTTTCCTTACCCGGAACTGGTTCCCCAAAAGAATCTGCTGTTCACTGTACTAATCCGTAAACATTTCGGTTGCCAAGGACACCCGTGGATAAACAAGGATAAATAGATAAAGCTGTCCTCCCAGACTGCATGTGGTAGTTAGGAAGTGTGCTTCCCACGCGTGTTTTTGCCGCTGTGGACTCTTCAACACGGCCCCCTGCCCCCGTCTTCTGCTGTGTAGATCTCCAGCCAGCCGGAGGACAGCATTAGCTCCTGGCCTGAGAGAGAATTAGCGAGGCCTTAGAAGCCGTTCAAGGTCACTAAGGGGGGTGGTGAATGTGGAATGAATTTACTCTGCAGCGATAATGTTTTTCAGAGCAGAGGAGTTGGGGTTGAGTGGCCTGAGGGAAGACGTGGTCAGTGAAATAGTCCTGGGCTGGAAGTGGAACCTTTGAACCCCCAATTCTGATTCCAGAAACAGCTCTTGGACAAGACCTGGGGTGCACCCCTCACTTGCAGGAAGCCGTGGGCATCCTTCTGACAGCCCAGGGCTCACAGCCCGGGAAGGTCCATTGAGCCCAGCTCCAGCCCAGTCCTGGTTTGCTGAATGTTCTTGCCCCCTGCACCCCTCCCAAGCATTCTGATTGGCAGATTTTTCCCTTTTTTTTGCTATCCACCCCCCTTTATTGGGCCAACTGGAATGGGCATAAATTGACATTTCTTTGCTGTTGTTTTTCTTTCCTTTAATCTTACAGAGCTAAGCATATTGGTATACGATTACTGGCTTTCAGAGATTCATTCTTGCATCTGCTATTAGGAACCTCATCGTGTCAAGGTCAGGAATGCAGACTCGTCTACCTTGATGGAGATCATGGGGCCCCTGCTTCCCAGCTATAGTCCTCAGATTTCTCTTTTGCAAAACGGGGCTCTCGTGAGGTTGTGAGGATTAAATGAATTAAACATAGAAAGCCCTTGAATTGTGCCTGGCTTGTATCTCCTGGTATGTGTTTGCTGTTATTCTTCTTACTGGGGACTTTGGTTTATTCTCATTTTGTTTCTCTTTTGAGTAGTTCATCTATTTTCTATTAAAAAATGCCTCTTCTGTTATAAATCATGCAACTGTATGCACTTGAGCCTGTTTCTGAGATCTTATTCTGTCTCTTTGATGTATCTGGTCCATTTCCTAGCGACTACTCTACTGTGCTAATTAGTATAGTTTATGCCGAGTGAGCACGTGTACCTGGTAGGACAAGGCTTTATTTTTTCTCAAG